GTTGGTATCTGCGGATCCCAAGTGCTTGGTTGGGGGTTAGGGTTGGCCCTCAAACACTACATCTGCAAAGGGACCCAACACCTTTTCAAGACCAGTCACAAGAAATAGGGCGAACAGTGACGAAGGAGCATTTTTGCTACGGGTCGCTGACTGGCTTGTGGCTTGAATTTACACTCAAGGTCTTGTGACGGTCTTGTGGGGTCTTGATATGGTCTTGTGGGCTAGCGGCTGCATTATGGCAACCCAATTGTAGTTTGCACTGACTGTGTTCAAGCCACATGCAACCTCCTTTTTCACTTTCCTGAAAGAGTTATAAAAGAATATTATTCATGAGTCAGTCACACATCTGTGACATCACTTCTGTTAAGTAAAAATTTTGTTTTATTGTTCGGTCAAATTTCTGATTTGGAGCCTTTCCCTTTCTGATGGCAGGCCATTGCCAGACAAGAAACGCTGCACATTCTGCAGAAGAGGAAGCAGGAGAGAAAAGAGGTGAGAAAGTCTGCGGTGAATCATCGGGAATGGGGGTGGAAAGGCCCCTCTGTAGCCACAACAAGGAGGAAGACGAAAGAATATCGCTAACAGGTGGTTGCTGACGTACTGGCCGCTTGGCTTCAACATTCCACTCGCTGAGCCAGGCCTGGATCTGTCCGCACGAATGCACACCACCGAATTGTAAACGGGAGTTTAAAAATAATCAAAATAGAATGCTCAGTTGAAAGAAAGTATTAAAGTGAACGTCCCAAAACATTAGAAGCGTGCTCGAAGCTCAGAATCTGGAGAATTGACTTGCGAGGTTTACAGGCTGTGCTGAATATTTGATCAGTGTTCAAACAAAGCGTTCAAAAATCAAATGGGGGAACTCTTAACACCAGTTATACTTCAGGAAAAAGACCAAGGACCAGTGGTGAAGGAAGACTCTTCTCAGAGGCGGGGCAAAAGGAGGGGGGGAAGAGTTGCCCCCCCCCAACCAAGTCACTTGGTTCGTGTAGCGGGCAGGTCTTTCAAGGACTTTAAGTGACCCCCTAACTAAGTCACTTAGTTTGTTTAGTGGACGGCTTGTTGAAGGACTTAAAATGTCCCCCCAACCAAGTCATTTAGTTTGCTTNATTGGTATCTGCGGATCCCAAGTGTTTGGTTGGGGGTTAGGGTTGGCCCTCAAACACTACATCTGCAAAGGGACCCAACACCTTTTCAAGACCAGTCACAAGAAATAGGGCGAACAGTGACGAAGGAGCATTTTTGCTACGGGTCGCTGAGTGGCTTGTGGCTTGAATTTACACTCGAGGTCTTGTGACGGTCTTGTGGGGTCTTGATATGGTCTTGTGGGCTAGCGGCTGCATTATGGCAACCCAATTGTAGTTTGCACTGACTGTGTTCAAGCCACATGCAACCTCCTTTTTCACTTTCCTGAAAGAGTTATAAATTGCCAGAGTTATAAAAGATTATTATTCATGAGTCAGTCACACATCCGTGACATCACTTCTGTCAAGTAAAAATTTTGTTTTATTGTTTGGTCAAATTTCTGATTTGGAGCCTTTCCCTTTCTGATGGCAGGCCATTGCCAGACAAGAAACGCTGCACATTCTGCAGAAGAGGAAGCAGGAGAGAAAAGAGGTGAGAAAGTCTGCGGTGAATCATCGGGGATGGGGGTGGAAAGGCCCCTCTGTAGCCACAACAAGGAGGAAGACGAAAGAATATCGCTAACAGGTGGTTGCTGACGTACTGGCCGCTTGGCTTCAACAGTCCACTCACTGAGCCAGGCCTGGATCTGTCCGCATGAATGCACACCACCGAATTGTAAACGGGAGTTTAACAATAATCAAAATAGAATTTTGTTGTAAGAAAGTATTAAAGTGAACGTCCCAAAACATTAGAAGCGTGCTCGAAGTTCAGAATCTGGAGAATTGACCTTCGAGGTTTACAGGCTGTGCTGAATATTTGATCAGTGTGTCAAACAAAGCGTTCAAAAATCAAATTTTTAACACCAGTTGTACATCAGGAAAAAGACCAAGGACCAGTGGTGAAGGCAGACTCTTCTCAGAGGCGGGGCAAAAGGAAGGGGGAAGAGTTGCCCCCCCCCAACAGAGTCACTTGGTTCGTGTAGCGGACAGGTCTTTCAAGGACTTTAAGTTTGTTTAGTGGACGGCTCGTTCAAAGTCTTGTTAAGTAGGTCTGTATCAACACTAAAGCATATCAAGACACTACGGATGGTTTGGCGACAGCTCCCCCCCCCAAAAAAAATCCCAATTTCCGGGGGAGGGAAGACTTCCCGCTGGGGCAGTTACACCCCCCCCTTTCCTCTTAGGTGAGGCCACACTGTCAAGAACACACCTGCTTATGCACCATCCACCATCGTCAGTAAAGACGGGACAGGCTGGTGGGAAGTTTTTAACTGGGCTCCAGCTCGTGCAAAACCCATGCGCAATATACCAACAGAACTTGACTGTACGTTCACAGCGTGTCCATGCCAAATGCACCGAGACCTGTTTACGCATGCATTGAGTTACCACCAAAGACCCATTGGTGGTGCGTGTAATCACGCCCTCTCTTGTTCCCGCTCAGAACAGATAGACTCTGCATCTACCCCATTTGTGGCGAACTCATCTCCTTGACAAGAATTGTAACTTCTCTGCTGTTGCCGTCATCATCTTGCATTGGAAAACTGATCAATGTGCTTATAGACCTCTATTATGGGCCAGCTGTCTTTTTTTTTTTTACCCATTTAAAGCAATGTAAACCAAACTGAGGCTGGAAGGAAAAATAATCTGTTCCCTTTTATCAACATGTGGCATTGTATTGCTATTGCCAGTGGGCCCACAGGGTTCAAGACAAACATGGCAGCATCGCAATAAAGGTCTATTGCATTTGGTTTGCTCTCCACAGAAGGAAGCCATATCTCACCGGCCAGCCCCACCCTCCCTGCTGGATGAGGAAGAGTGAGTATTCTTGCTGTATTTGGCTCCGAATATCATAACCAGAAGCTGTTGGCCGTTTCCCTAAGATATGTGGGTTATTTTTTGCCGCAGACTGCTGATTCCGACTCTGTGGGTTTGGACTAGCATTTTAGAACCTGTAGTTTGAGTTAGCTGTGAAGATCTCCTTGTGGTATTTCTGTCTGAATTCCATGTTGTGAAATAACTGAGATTTCTGTTCCCAGGGCTGCTTGAGCACAAAATTTGCTTTAAGCAGGAAAAACTTTGCTTAATAAACAAAGGTTACCAGCTCAAACTCTATCTGATTGTCATGCTAACCAAAAAACAGATAAATACGATCCCAAAACAATATACATCACATGGAGTTTTGGCTGATTACTTGATTTATCAAGTAAGGTTTCTCGCGCTTTAGCAAATTTTGTGCTTAAGCAGCTCTATGAAATTTGCCCCAGGATGGGATGCCAGTCCATCACAAAGTAACTTTCTTGCTAAATAAAAACAGTTTTAACATTAATTTAGAAAAAATGCTATTAATTAACAGCTGGAAATATGGGACCGTAACCAAACCATAACCATATGCTGCTGGGTTTAATTTGAAGTTGCATGATGTTTATACCCACACACATTACTGTCTGGTGGCTACTCTAATCTGACAGAAAACATCTGTTGAAGCCGGAGTATTTCAGCCAGGCCTGCCACCTTGTAAAGAGAGCCCTGATTGTGCGGTGATACGTAATTTTCTCTTGTTCCTGAAACTGGCCCAGTGCGCTGCTGGCATCTTTTCAGATATGCAGCCAGATTAGCTTACAGCAGTATTGTATCGCTCATCTCCGGAGTGCTGGAGCGCTTTTGTCCCCGGTGGTAATCCGCTCCCACTGAATGCCACAAACAGTGGTATAATCATTCAAAACAATGACGGATTTCCTCTGCTATAGACAACTGAAAAAATGATGGCAATTCCCAGCAGCTCGGCCTTTTGTTCAGAGCACAGTCTTTTGTTACAAGGCCCAGCTCTTTTGTCCGATTTCGGGCAGCCTGGCTGTGTTTAGGCCCAAGGTGTCCGGTTCTGGAAACCCTGGCAGCAAGTAGTCAGAACTGCTGTCGTCTGTCAGAAGTTCAACTGGCTTAAAACTGAGATTTTTTTAGAAACATTTTGTATTTGGAGAGCAAATTTGCCCATCGTGCCAATCACCTGTAAAACTGTGTTCATTTTTGCGTACATTAGAAGCAATCGAGTGAGTACTTATTTTGTTCAAGAGTTCAGACCCATTCCCCCTGTGCGATTTATTTTTGTCTCAGCAGAAAGTCATGCTTGCTCATGTGTTTGTGGCCGGATCTCACTTGACGGTTAGCCAATCAGAACCTTCCCTCGTTCTTCTCCCCGTCTCTGTTGTTAAAATATTCAGTGACTACGACGAAGCCACAGAGCTTGAGGCGGTCCAGGCCATGGCTGAGCTGGACTCATTTGAGCAGCGCATCATTGAGGACAGCAGATGAGACTGGTCTGAGCGTGGCGCCCGGTCTCACCTGTACCGATATCCGTCCATTCGTAAGCCATACCACACTGATCTCATGGACTCATCTTATCAACTGCTATCAGATGTCGGCTCCGTTAATAGCGGTGACTCACAATGCCATGCATCACCAAGAGGTTGTCACGGAGAGGCCCTTTTTAACGGTGCATTGTGGGAAAATAGCAACAGAAGGTCTTTGCGGTGGCTGCTCTGTGTGCGGTGAATTCAAATTGTTCCGATAATATTTTGGCTTGGATTGAAGACGAGGTAGTGTGAAGAGTATCGGTGTTAATCAATATAAAATGGTGGTTTTTTTAATGAGGCACAGAAAGCCCCAACCAATTACACATTTCCTCAAACCCTCTGGTGGAATTCACTGATATACAACATGCAGAAAGTCTTCCACTTCTTTGTCGACCGTTAACTTGAAAGATGGCCTCTCCATGACGACCTCTTGGTGGCGCATTGTATTGGTGAGGAGAACATCTGTATGGAGTTTAGGGGACTATGGCAACATATGCGTTGTCTGCTATTCGTTTGGGCTGCCTGCTTTTGACCAGCACAGCACGTGAGCACAGACCCACACCACTGATCTCTAAACACTGGATAGGCGACTCAGCAGTAACTGCCTGTGCGTGAAATGAAGTGACCGCAAGGCCATCTTAGGACATTCAGTACAGTGGCCTTCAACTTCAGTCAATTCACTAAGTGCATTCATGCACGGCACTAAAGCCGGTGACTTGGAAAATACTTTTGTATTGAATAGCCCAAGATGGCCGCGCAGTCGCTTCAATTCGCAGAGCAGAGCGGCCTATCCAGTGTATAGAGATCAGTGATACACACACACACATTGCATCAGGGACCTTCATAGATGGATAGCGCCCTCTGTGGGGAAGATGTGTCCACTGTTTCTATGAAAGTGACATGTTGGTGTCAGTGTGAAAAGTGTGGCTTCCCCCTTGGATGGTTTTAAACTTATTCTTTTGATTCAGTGTTTTGCTTGTGAAAGAAAACAAACCAATGAAATGTGCTGGAGCAAGAAGTCAGGTGTCAAATGAACTTCATTGGTCATTCTTTGCTTGACACTTTTTGTGGAAAGTATTAAAAGATTGTTCCATGTATCAATGAAGAGTTCCCTTGGGACCTTGTGTTATGGACCGGCCCGGGCAGTGAGGTCACTAGTCCACATTTATGTCTCCTAGGGACTGTGAGTGATCGGAAGAGGGTCTTATCTTCGGCCTCGGGAAGATATGACCCTCTTCTGGTCACTCATAAGCCCAAGGGGGCATGGCCGTGCACCAGTGACCGAACTTGGCCAGTCCATATGTGCTTTATAACGCACCTCGGACTAGAAAAAAAATTCTTTCAGGGTTTTTATCTGTTTTAGTTCACCTTTCAATAGTGCGTAAAAGATTGTAAAAAAAAGTTTATTTTAGTGTCCTTTGATGCTGTCTTATTTTGAGTTGTTATACTCAACAAGGAAAAGAATTCTTCCAGGGTTTGAACTGTTTTAATTCAACTTTTCATTTAATGCCAATTCACAAAATTCAAAAATTGAAGGTCCATTTTAGTTTTCATAGATTCAGTCTAATTTTGAGTCGCTGTATACAACTAGGAAAAGAAATCTTCCGGGGTTTTAACTGTTTCAATTCAGCAATGTTTTCAAATGAGCCATAGCAACCTCCAGAGGGCGCGATAGCAAGTCTGGTCCGCGCCAATTTGGCTCATCAGGCCGGTGTTTATCTTTGGTTTCCTTGGCATGAAACGACTGAGAATATTTCTATTCCCCCCTGGATGGGATGCCAGTCCTTCGCAGGTTGCTTCCTCACCAAACTAAACGAAACTTCTTCCCTCTTAGGGCTGAAAAATAGATTTTTATACCTCCCAGCACATGACTTAGTGATTGGCCAAAATTGAAACTCCATGATTCAGGCGGTAATGATCAGGCGAAGCCAGAGGCGAAATCGGAGCGAAAGCCGAGATTTGGGAAAAGGCCCCCTTCATATCGCCCTCTATCGAATAGCTGATCATATTTTCATTACAATGTGTCTTGATTGCTGTGATTGACAGTTAATTATTGATTTGTCCGTACCTCCGTTATAGGATGCAGTGCATATAGAATGATTGTGATGACCCCTCACTGCCATTTGCATGTTGGGCAGTGCCGGCAGCCCCGTCCCCTATTGTAATACAATATGTATTTGTGGGGGGGGGATTAGGTGTAGATAGAAGTACTACGCCCCTACTATGATGATTGTCCGGACTACAGTTGGGCTGCCATCGGCGCCTGTGTGTTCCATGGCATTGCTAAGGTCGTTTTCTTTATGTCCTTCTTTCGCCGTAGCAGCACCCAGTTTTTGTGTTACGGATGAAATGTCAAATTGGCGTATGTGGGATAAATTGTGGTGGTTGTGAGCCGCATAAACTTAGAGAGAGTTGAATTTTCAATGGAACTTTGCTGACTACGGGCGCTGCACTTGGGACCATCCCAACTAGAGTTAGGACTGATGCCATATTTTTATCCATTTTTTAATTATGCATGCACAAAATATCTGTCCAAGATCATTTTTTGGTCGAATGGTGTTGTGGTTATATTTATCTTTTTCTGATGTTGTTTTAGTGATTTAACACTACATTAAGACGGGCCTTTATGCTCTGTATGTAAAATATATAATTATATATATAGTTCAGTGCCAGACAAGCAGAAATAAGACAAAGGCGACTCTTGTGTCGTTTTAGTTCTTTATTTTTGTCTAACAGCAAACGTTTCCCACTTCAAATAGGCGACCTCTTAAAAACAAACCAAGGCCGTAGTCATAATTATGTGCTCATACCAACCTCATTACAATGTAATAATTTACAGCAATTTATGAAATGCAGGGGGCTGCCAAAATGCGGCTCCCTCCCGTACTGAGATTTTTATTGGAACTTATTCCACCAGCGTGCTCACAACAGCCACCGTCTTCAGACGATGTGGTCCATCGACATTGTTTCATCCCGGCCTGAAGTGTCTTCCTGGCGCTGCTTATAAAAAAATGTTTGCTCGTAGAACTGTTCATGTCACGGAAAAAAAAGCACATTCAGCACTCAGCCTGGCATAGGACATGCCGAACTCAGGGCACAATTTGTTCAAAATAACGACAGGACTAAAAAATAAAATCATGCTGAGATGCCCAGGAATGCATGAGCACGTATAATTATGTGCCCCGCAGTACAAGTGTAGCGCTACAGAATTGGAGCTTTCACCCTAGACAGTTAGTTACTGATTGATTGCTGCTCCCTGGAGAAAACTGGAAACATTTTTCAGCATTGCAAATGTCCACAAGTGCACTGCACTGTTTCATTAAAAAGCTCTCTTGTTCATAATATCATCAACCTGCTAAAATAAAACAAGCCTATGTTCTTACACTTACTTAAAACGGCACATTCGGGAAGACATGTAACATATTACATTTGCATAGGAAAAGACCAGAATCTTTGATATTACCCATTTGGTTGTCCTTTGACAGTCTCGTCTAGATCCTGAATGGCAGGGTAATGTTCTCTAAGAATGAAAGAACTCCGAGTTTATCTGCGGGCCCGGCTGTGCCAATTCTTTTGTGAAAATCCCGGAATCGTCTCCTGTTTTTCTAGTGCGACATGCTCATATTCCTGAGTGTCTTTGTGGGAGAAATATCATCGAAAATGCTGCAAGAAGGTCTCGGCAAAATGGAAAGACCAGTGGGTTTTTTGACAGAATTTCCGCCAAAGCGTTTAACCTGCCCTTATACAGCGAGGCCCAGTGTCATGAAGTTGAGGGTGTATAGCTACGGAAAGGTGTTGAGCACAGTTTTAACTGTTGCAGAAAACAGGTTACCGACCGCAGTGTCATGCAATGTATGTAGTGTATTGCTTTGTGGCTGGTTCCTATCACCGTTTTTTGCTCCGCTCATGAATTTGCTTAGTCTGGCTCCCGCACCCGACACTACCCTCTGACGTGGGATAAACTGTTGGTCCACTAGCCACCATTAACTAACAAAGATATGACGTAATGTCCTGGATTCAGAGCGCGCGTGTCCGTTAATTTTAAAAGTGAACCGTTGTCACGAGGTACCAAAAAGTGGCAGTAGGCCTAAGTATTCAAAAACAAATTAAGAAAAATGTGGCATGTCGGGAAATCCGTGAAGAAAGGTGGTTTATACACTGCAAATATTCCGAACGTTACCGAATTAGAAATAACGTACCACTCGGAAACTTTTGTCAAGTTAGGAATATTTGAGAAACGGGATACCCCCCCACAAGTTTTTGTCACCTGACCATGGCGGCTACCAGATCCACGATCTCTCAGAATAGTTGGAATATATAGATCTGGGAACCACACTACAATCTGTTGGTCGCGCAATTTCTGCTCGGAGTTGCTCCATACAATTTCACTGCTTAAGGTTGTAGAAAAAAAGAATCCTTAATGCAAGCTGACCAAAAAAAAAAAAAAAAAACCGTTCGACCATCTCCTTTTTACACTGATTGTGTTGTTTCTTTCTGTTCGGGTACAAGTAACTCATGCAATTCTCTCAAGTTCAAAAAGGCCCTCAGTACAATGTAACAAAGACGAAAAATCTGGAAAGCTACCGGCATGGTAACCTCATGGCATGGATGTAGCACCCCCTCAGAGACTTTCCGCTCCCTTGTGTTAAAACGTCTACACGCAAATCAACTTTTGCAGTGAAAAACGGGATAAAAAACACAATGAAAACCCTGCTTGTCCAATGTTACACCTACGAAATAAATCGACTCTTTGTGAATATATACAAAAAAACCCATATTTAACACCTGAACATTCCAAAGAGTGTTACAGAATGTATCTGTGCTTAGAACGTTTGTTTACATTGCCTACATAATCTACGGAGAGTTCTGGCGTGCCAAGAAGACAGAAACAGAATCAAATATTTGTGAAAGAAGCCAAAATAATGCAGCCATATTATTCAATCATTCAATGTCACTTGTCTTCTGAAGTCTAGTTTTCTGTGCGTCTCCATGGAGGTCGTTTTTCATTTTCTTGGTAGAAGTAGCATCGTCAGCTATCCTCTCTCAGATAAGCAGAGGGAAATTGGCCGACTGAAAATGCGGAAGACGGCTTGTCCCACTCCAAAACTTCCCCAACCCGCAGCCACTGAAAATGTGGCAGTAAAAAACACGAACTCACTCTCATTTACCTCTTCTTGAAAACATTACGCGATTACAGCTGGTTCCACGGTCTTTGTCAGCCCAGGTCTTTTTTAAAAGAAACATGTTTATCTTTAACTGCGTTACAAAAAGAACTTTTTTTGCACACACATCACACATCAGGTAGAAAAGCTGCCCAAATTTACAAAAAGTTCTCCTATTTATATAAGTAGTCACATCTTGTTTATATTTTGTGCCGTCTTAGAAGATATATACACGCATTTATAAACACGTGACACAGGTTTACACATTTTTGTACACACGGCACAGCATGTGTTGGAACTTGGGCCAATTATGCCATACAAAACTTTGGCGCGCGTGAAAATGTTTGTACCAAAAATGTCTAGATTCCGTTGTGATGTTAGCCAAAGTTAGTTTGGTCTGTCTCATGTAGGCTTACAAAATGTAAGTTTCAAACACCATCAGTCGAGTCGGTCATGTTGTCATGGGTTCACTTAAAAGATCCAACTCGCGCCCAAGAAGAAGGAAAAAGGCCGTAAATTTACGAAGTACACATGTAGCAACCAAAAAGGGGCTTCTGAGTCGCCCTATATCATTGCTACCCCTGCTTGTCGGGCCAACAAAGCATCCCTGAAATGTTAACAACAGATAGGACCAAATAGCAGATACAGCCAGGACACCAGCAAAAATTTGACTGGTAGCCTGCTCTGAGCTGATGTGCGCCCCTCTTTTTCCGGTCTCTGTCAGAAACTTTGTTGAGGGGAATTCGCACTTGGGACATTGACACTCCAATCTTATTTTGCCCTTCGCTGACACACGTCACTTGCAAAAGAAGCGAGCCTGCCAGCGGGCCTAGCCAAACTCGACGGTAAAGATTCCTACATGCACAAGCAACAGGGGGTCGTGGGCCCGAGTCCCACCCGAGCAGGCTTTGTGAAACTTCCCCCACAAGCTCGTTATAAAAAAAAACACCGAATATAGAGTGGCTTTAGTAAACTACGCCATGTAATTATGGTGTGGTAGCATTTTGGTCATTTGGCGGGAATTGGGAGGGTACCTGTTCTTAGAGTACTCCATGCCGTTCCCACTGACTGGAGTTATCACTTGTCTGGTCCATGTCCGTGCGTTATTTCTAAGGGTTTGTCGGTCAGTTATTGTTGAGTCTCACTCACTGTCTAGTCTTGCAGTCTGAGTCTGTCGGAGCGGCTGAGAGATCTACATAATTTTGTAAATCTGCCCTCAGTTTCTAAGTGTGCTTGTCCACTGAGAGAAACCTTGCGGTGAAATCATAAAGAGGGGGATTGTAGGTGTCGTCAAACTGTCACATTTAGACTCTTTCCTCATAAACAAACACAAACAAGCGAAAAAGCCTGAAACAAACTCGACACTTCAAAAAATAAAAGTTGAATCAAAGGAAACAGGAATTGAGCTTAGAGCCCTCGGGAGCATTGCTGCAGTGCTCCATCGGCCGTGCTCAGCTGGACATCCATTTGAATTCTGGTAATCCCTCACGTATTCGTGGCCTCCTTGTTCTCCTTGTCACCCATGGTAAAATTTTGAGGAGAGACTAAGAGTTTGTTTGAAATTATGGCCATGCTGTCCGACTGCCATACGCTAAAAAAAATGACGACACCAATTTTTGTCCCCCTTGTCCAAGTTGGATCCTCATTACAGAACAGTGGTCACCAAACTCCAAGCATTTTTTATAACATTGGTGAATCCTACCATTTTTTTTCCAGAATGGCAGACCACTATCTATTTTTCTTTCAGAGCCAGCTGCTCCGATTTAGTCTAGCGTACTTGTCTGTCGGTTTGATGTTTTGTTCAAATCTCTTAATTTCCTGGGTAGCCGTCCGTCTCTGTTCGATCTTGTCAGTCAGTTGAATAAAGTTGGTCCGCCGACCGGCAACGCTCAGTCACGGTGCTCACCGCACAACACGATTATTCATTTATTGCCCGTACCGTCCGAAAAAAGCGCTTTATTATAGCTGTGTCGTATCATAGCATTATTGTCACTTCTCACAAGGAAATACCTACTGGAATCTTTTTCATAGTGTGTTTTTGGTATGTCTTTGAAACTTCAAACGCTTTCAATATAGTTTGAAATTCTGGCCCTCAGAAAACAAGTACATGTATGTGAGGAAGTAAGTAAAGTAAATCTGTGTTCCAAAAAAAAATTGATTTTGAAGAGGGACCAAATGACTTGGCGAAAACCAAAAAAAACTATCTGTACACAAGTCCTTTAGCTTCTTTGCAGTGTTCTATGCTTTAAGAGTCAGAAACTTATTGATCAATGGTAAAGTACGTTAAAGTTGTAAGCCGTCGTATTAAGCCATGGTTAATGTCTAGGCAAAAATATTTGACTTCAAAATAAATATGCCTAGATGGGTTAAGCAACCATGATTTTTTGAATGTTGGCACTGACAAATAGACAGCCTATCCCCCTTGGGCAGAAGCACCCCCTCATTGGTTGGAAAGAGCCATGTCGGTCGGTAGCGACGCGCCTGCAACGTGTGCATTTCATAGTCGTCTGTGAACCAGCGAAGTGCAGTTCCTACTTAAAGGAGCCCCCGTTGCTAGGAAAATTGCGCCCTCTCTAAGTCCAGCTCAGGGTTCATTGTCGCAGATCGAAGCGGGAGGGTGGAGTGAAAACTTATGCTAGTCTGGGTCGGCTAGTTTTGTATTTTGTTGTGAAAGCGAAAGTTTTGTATTCAAATCCAGGATAATGCATCATGCAAGATGACGGGTGTCTTTTTTCCTCATTTAACAAGCAAACTTTATGCAATGTGGGCTACCAAGCATCAACATGACGTCGAGGAGATTCGAGACCCGCTGAGCTCTTCGCCCCGTCTCTCCAGCCAGATGACCTCCCCGCTCTCATCCTCGCCCTTCAGCACGGGGAAGGTCAGCGAGGGCGCACGGGCGTTAGGGGAGCGGCTGCCCATGGACACACGGCCTGGCACAGAGAAGGGCCGGCCGTTACCACGGGAGCGGCCTGGGCCCGCCCCCCGCTGGCGGAAGTTCTTGGTTCGCAGCTGAGGTAGCTTCTCGGAGGCCTCGGGAGGCCGGCTGTCCTGCTGCGGAGGTAGGGAAGAGGAGGTGACCACCACAGGCTTGGGGCGATCGGAAGCAGTCCGGGCGGTTCCCTCGGGTGGGGCCCCGCCAAGGGCGTTGGCCACGGGCGTGGTGGCCACGCCCAGCTCTATGAGTGGGTGGTCGCTGTGGTTGCTGTAACTGGGATCCTGCTTCTGTTTGTCCAGGGTCGGGCCAGAATTTGGATCACCACCTGCAGCGTCCCGAGTAGGCCCTGACACATCGTCTGGCCGACGATCCATGGATCTCGTATTCCCAACCGGGTGGGTGCCCAGGTAAGCGGCGGGCCGTCCCTCCCTGCCCCCGGGCCGGGACTTCCCGATAAGACACTCGATGATGGCCGCCTTCTGCTCGTCGAACTTCCTCTCGATGGCGCCCAACTGCGTGTACAGGCCGTCGATACGGCTGTGGATGGCGTTGTTGTCCACGAAGTAGCCGACGTTATTGTTGTCCGGGTCGGCCGCGCCGGCCCTGGGGCTGACCGAAGGCAGGGAGGCGGTCACGGCGCCCTCAGGAGCCTCGCGGTTACCGAGCGAGGACAGCGCCACCGCCTTTTCCACAGACCGATGAGCGTCCCTGACGAGGGAGTGTTTTTGTTCTGCGGTCTTGCTTCCACGCTGGTGGGGCTCAGTGTAGTGTCTGTATTTGCGTTGCATAAGGGGAACCTCGGGGTCGCTTTCATCTTTGTCCTCATCGTCTTTGGTTTCTATGGAGACCACAGTGTCTGTAAAGATGAGCCAAACAGGACAATGCATGAGTGTAAGCTTAGCGGGAATAGAAAAGGACATTTCCACTCAACCCAAAGTTACTTTAAAGGGTCACATTTTAGTTACCATTAATCCACCGACAATTAATCAAAATGCGCCGGCTTTATTCGTTTCTAATTCTGGTGTGGTAAAGTTTTCTCCATCGGGCACTGCAGTGTTGAAAGGACGAAAAACTTTTCCCTGATATTTTCCAACTGCTCCCAAGGTTATGAATGGACTTTTAAAGGAAGGCTTTAGTACACTGCAAACTGACAAATACAGAAAAAGTGTCCAAAATTCGTAACCATTTGCTGGAATCTTGAGAAAGAATCCACGGTAGGACTTAAGAAATACAAGGGAAGACCTGCTTGATGACGACGTTTAATACATGTATGATCTATGACATTCTCTCTAAAGCTTTCTAATAATTATGACATACGAGGTTCTAATATGGTTTCCGGATGTGCGTATTCTGTTTCACATTCGAGTAATTTTGGACATGGTGATTTTGACAATCCTGTCGACTCTCCGAACCACAGCGTGTTGTACTTAGGTGCGTGTTCATGAATTTTGTTCTGGTAAGCACATAATATCTTTCTAACTCCAAACTTTGAAAAGCCGTCAACACCCACTGATTTTGCTGGGCTTCCTTTTCCACTTCCCGCTCTGGAAGGTGAAGGCCGAGTCCCGGCAGCTAGCCTCGGAGCCGGCCTTAGAGGCCACTGTCTCCGTGCTGGGGCAAGGGGTCAGCTCCACCCGGCCTCCGCTGCCTCCCCCGCCAGCGCCGCCGCCCTGCCCCGACCTCTGCTGCTGCTGCTCCTTGCTCTTGCGGGCGGCCTGGGCGGCGGCCACCACGGCCGAGAAGCGGCGGTTGAGGACGGTCTTAGTGGAAGGCCAGTGGTTCATCTTTGGGGCGATGTCTGGCACGATTTTATCGAGCTCGGTCTGGGAAGGAAATCCAACATTGATCAAAAAAAGTGCGATTTCATCTGTCATTCTTCAAATTGAGCATCATTGGTCAAATCGATGAGCTTTTCTGCCAAAAATATCCTTTTCAGGTTCTTACATCTCTCATGTCGATTGTGACTTCGACTTTCTCAGCGAAGTGTTCCCGGAAGTCAGGATACATCTTGATGACGTCCATCAGATCCTCCCGATACAGTGTCAAAAGGTCACAGTATGTTAATGCTCTGACTGTGCCCTTTGACCTCCCTACCAGAGGCCGCTGACAAAAGTTTTCGCCCACCACGTCATTTTTACCTATTTGTAGGAATTCGAAGGAAAACATGAACATAATATTTATAATCGTGAACAGACGTAAGAACAAAAGAATCACACAGGAAATCAAGGGATTTAGATATTTTCTGGATATATGTTGATGGGTGCTTTTTCTGATGTACTTTGTAAGTTTGTAATCTGAAGAATCGGCAGTGGCAGTGCTGGCTACAATTCGGTCATGAGTTGAACTTGTGCAATACCTTACTGTCTGTACACTCATTTAGAAGAAACTTTTCAAAATGTATCTAAACTTAATCAGTGAAAAAAGCTCATGGAGCTGTCCGTTTCACCAACTTTTTAATAGCAAAGAGCAAACTACACGTTTAAAATCGACATTATTTGGAGTGTCTGTCAACGTTTTGGAACTGGTTGTCAGTTGTACTTGATCAATGAAAACTGTTTTCCCTCCAGTAACCCATATGGATTCACAGGAAAATAATGAAATCGGTTTGGGGAGTCGTTTCTGCCCAACCACCACCACAACCATCCTCGCAGCAGCATTTCATGTATAACTGAATGAAGTTAATAGATTATGGGCTAATTATTTTGCATTTGAGCAGTTGTTGTCATGGATATTATTGGTTCCTTTTTAAAATGTTGATCTTTTAGGCGAAGCCCACTGCTCCAGTTGCGGTCAAGCATGACAAAAATTGCAATGGGGTAATCACATCTCTTGAAAGTAGACAGAACATAGATCTTTAAGCGTTAATGCTTGTCCAATAGAAGACAGTGCAGGACTGGACTGACCGTACGCGTCTTGAAAGTATACTTGTGGCTTTCCCTGGGGAAGGTTCCCTACATTTTTATTCATTCACTTTATGTTTTAAAGGGAACCATTGTTGGAGGGTGGGGAAAGAGTAACAAAAAACTTCTCTGCCGGATCAAAGATAACGTTTGGTTTGATTCATTTGGTTAGAAAATAAGCAAATTAACTTCAGGCTGGAAAACCATGGAGAAACTAGTGCTTTAACGCCCCTCTGGTGAAACTATAAATGAGAAAATAAGGTTAGATAGTTTCATTTTCATTTATTCATTGAAAACATAGTTGAAATCAAAGATTGGCAGAGGAGGTCGGCAGATCTGGTATCCGAAAAATATATAGCCTGGTAGGATAGTCCTGAGTTATTGTGATCTTGGGGAGAAAGATATTTTCTGCCGTTGTAACTATAATTTGGTTTTCTTTTTTTTTTGGGGGGGGGGTTCTTGAGTGTGCCCTGTACATCAAACTTCTTCTCACCAAGTATTGCCAAGACAACATTGCCCCGGAGAATCTCCAGTGATCCCCGGGAGATGAAGTACATCTGGTTAAGGCTGTCGCCTCGATGCAAGAGGATGTCCCCGGGGGCCGTGTGGGTGTTCTGGAACTTGACCGACAGCGCCCTCAAGCAGCCGTGCTCCACGCCCTTGAAGGCCGGCGAGCCGTTCAGGAGGTTGCGGTTGAGGTGGAGGGAGATGTCGGCTTGCAGGAAGTCGGGGAAATCTTTCATGACCTGGGGAGGGAATGAACGGGATATTAAAAAAGGCTTTAGTGGACATCGATTGGGACGGAGAAGTCGCGCGCGTTCTCTTGGATACGAAGATGTTCATGGCTTACAGCAAGCACATGCACTAAACGTAAGACTAGAATTCATAAATTACATTTAAGAACCTTAGCCACTCTGCTGTATGCAATGGCTACGACTGTAAAATAACACGTTTTCCTATGGAAGGTGGTACACTGCATATACGATGCAGCCATCTCAGTTTGTTTGTGTGTTACGGGCGACAGTAGCCATTAAGCTAGTCGGACATGGCTTAGATCAGGCAACACTTTTGAGACCTCTAAAATTGCATTGGTTGCTATCTCTAACTTTCCTGTCTTCTGATAGGTCCAGGGCAAGTGAAATATTCCAGTTAATCGACCCAATACGCCACGGGTCGTGCTGACATCGAGTCTCTTGGTGAGCCATCTTGTGGATGGGCGCTTAATTAACCTAATAAGCCGGTGCGGTGAGCGAGCCCTAAATCATACTAGACGTTTCGGGCTAAGTTAGAGTTACAATTGACACTGCCAGGTCTACATGAACTCCGGTAGAGGGTCCACTGAGTCTTAAACCATTAGCACTCTTGGCGCTGTCTTGACTGCAATCCACACCCACCACCTTAAGTGTCATGCATATTTCGAACCTTAAGGAAGGAAGATCGCTATGCACTTCAAGCCGTGACACCTAAGAAACTCTGCGAACTCCGCCAGCTATCATCTCTGAGTTCACGGCGTTCCACTCAGACGAACCTCGCCAAAGGCGCAAAAGGCGCCAACGATCTTTCGAGCAATGATCGTGAACGTTAGCGATATTTGCGCGACACACCGAGTAAACGTGTACCCTAACACAATACACACGATCCCGATTTTGCGTCCAATGGTCGGTCAACTGAAGCCCTGCCTACAGAGCTTTTCCCTTGTAGTGATCACGCGAAATCATGATCGCGTGACCACCCTAATCACGCTGCCGGCAGGAAATGAAACATGTCAATTATTTTCTTTATTCCCAGATCACGCAATTATACAGACATGTTTAATGCCTCGCTATGCTGCCGCGCCTTTGTCACGCAACCACAGCGAGGGCCATGTCAACAAGGCGCGCATATATCATCGCGGAATAATCGAATGGAGCAAATAACAATGTCACCTATTATCAAGCCTAATAGACTCTGTAGTCTGCTCAACACTGGTCGTTTATCATTCCGTGTGCTACTGTTCGCCAACTGAGATGCAGTACACTTGACAGGAGCAGATGGATTGATGTCTGCTCGGAAGTTCATGGATTCCCAGAGACGAAGAATTACTGGGCGTGACTACAGATTGAGCGGTCCAATTTACCGAACCACTCAGCAGCCAAGCGTCATTTATTTTTTTCACACTGACAGCCAATACCACGTAATTTGTTTCCCTCTTGCTTTTACGGCGCTATAGTTGGGGAAATATGGGTTGTCAGATTTCCTAATTGCGCAGGAAAGTCGCAACCGATGATGTCAAGCATATCCAATGGGCCCCTTTTTTAACGGCCATGCAAGCAGCTTTCCTATTACAAAGCAATCGTTTACGCGCTTAGCATACCGTAAAAACGACCACTCAGGCTATCTTGTGTTATGAGATCAAGTAATTTTTTGTGGTCGTGGGCAAATCGGCTGTGTACAGGACAAAATGACGTTTTCGAGGACATTGCAGCTTCATTTTAGTGTCACTTTTCGTGTTGATCATTCCTGCCTCGTTGTGCTTTTCAGCAAGCAACAAATTCCCAAAGTCAGTTTAAATTCAGTTTATGAAAACACATTGAATCTCCTTATTTAATTAACATCGTTTCTCTGTTTTTCCTTCTTTTCTATACCTGGGTCGGTAGAATATTTTATGTCAAGCTAAATGCACATTTTCATACCAACTGCTGTATGACGATTTCATTTTTGCTGTTTAAATAAATTCGTATGTCCCACGGCTACCTCTGCCGCGGGGAGAAGGCACAAAAGCACCGGGGCTAATGGAGATCTTTCCCGCGTGGTTTTCCGTCAGCGACTGCCGTGTGTGCATTGTGATGGCGAGATTTGAGTGTTGGGTGTGCAGACCGTCTACTGCTCAAGGCTGTTAGCGGGAGACCTGCGGTGCCATGTTTTCCCCAAGTTAGATTTGACGCCATTCGTGTCAATGTGCGGAGAAAACGTGGTAGAGTTAATGACGTCAGCATGTCCCGTGAGGCAGTGGAACAAAAACTGCGACTGGGGCACTGTGGCCTGATCTGGCAATAAAGCACTCGATGCGTGTTGTTCCTGAATGAAGAAGTAGACTCCTAGGCGTCTGCCCAAACCATTTTCACTGTGTAGAAGTATTGCGCACCTATATGAGCCCTGAGTGCAACCAAGAGAGGGCGCGATTTTTCTAGAAACGGAGGCTCCTTTGGTAGGAACTGCACTCAGCTGGTTCACAAACGACTACGAAATGCATGAACTGCGGTCGCGCGATTACCAACAGAAATGAACACTCCGGACCCCCATGGCTCTTTCAAACAGTTGAGGGGGTACTTCTGCTTAAGGTGGATAGACAAATCTGACGAGATACCATTCCTGAGGGGCCATCACGACTCACGCGTATGTTTCAACTCGAGCGCACGTGTGCACTTTATAGCAAGTCAGGACACCCTATAGGATAGGTATGTAACGCGCGCGTACCACCAGCCCTGCCTTCGAACGGGATGCCCCTCAGTAATGGCTTCTATTTTTATCGGCCTGATTTGTCTATACCAAACCGTCAACCTGGTGTTTTTACCCAACTTAGTGAGACCTCTTGCCCGGGTTGATTGCTGAACTCACCTCGTCGACTTCCTGCAAGTCGTTCCCGTTTGAGTAGACCCAAGCGTGCTTGAAGTACTCCTGCAGGCGTCGCCGCAGCGGGTGAGGCACATTGTGGAACTTGACAAACTCCTTGACCAAAGTGAGCTGCTGGTGGTAGCGGGCCATACCCTCGTACAGCCGCTCGATGATAGCCGTCATGTTACCGAAGATGCAGGCGAACATGAGGGCTGGAAAAGAGACAAAGGAAATGCTGACAATGCGCCAGTTAGGTCTTTCAAAAAGACAAGGTCATTTGAGTACAAAGCAGGCCGCACTGGTGGGGAAGATCTTGCGAGCGCACGCCTGTTGACGTTCCCAAAATGACCTTGTACGCGCTCCATTGCTTCATGTTCCCGAATGACCTCGTACGCGCTCCATTGCTTGATGTTCCCGAATGACCTCGTACGCGCACCATTGCTTGACGTTTCCGAATGACCTCGTACGCACCAATTGCTTGACGTTCCCGAATGACCTCGTACGCGCTCCATTTTGGGAATGCACTGGAATACCGAACAGGCTCATCATATTTGATGTGAAATTTGGATGCTATGAAATACATACTCAGTGCGCGTTTACTGTACACTGTTCGGAATAAGGGCAATCATAAAAGTACAGACAGAAGAGGCTGGAGTCCATACAATGACCAGAAATGATTCCATGTCAGTCCAGATTTCCTTATGACAAGGTGAGAGCCTCGCAAGGTGGCTAAAAGGTATCGTTACCGGATTGTACAGCAAAGAAGGGCTGTGGTTCAACGGGTCAAGGTAGGTCCCATGAGAAGCTATCGAGGGCATGAACGTTTGGTTGGTTGTTTGTGTGTTTGTTTTTGGGGGGAGTATACGTGGCTCATTTCGTTAAGAAGTTACATTGCAAACTGCTTAGCCTTACGATACCGATTGGCAGATATCATTGATACTGATATAAGACAAACCGAGAGTAAAACAGCTAATCCACAACATTTTGTGCGATCGATGGCATTGGAATGGTCCGAAAAGCCGGGCTTTGAGGTTAATTCGAACACCAAACTGATTCACAATTTGTGCACAGAACTACTTTTATTAACTTAAGCACAAATAGCATGTTCCAATGACCCTTCTTGAGAAAGCCGCCATTTATCATTTTAGAACCGATAGGGTTAACATCCGTGTTTATCATAAATCTAAATGAGCAATATTGCGTGTGGCACAACTAACTGCCAGTCCTCATCGCCTTGAGCGTCAGTATCCAGGGGCCAATTTCATAGATCTGCTTAAGCACGAAATTTGCTTAAGCAGGGAAAACTTTTCTTAATAAGCAAAGATTACCAGCTTAACTCTATCTGATTGTCATGCTAACCAAAAACAACTAAATTCGATTCCAAAACAATATACATCACATGGAGTTTTGATTGGTTACCTGATTTATCAAGTAAGGTTTTCTCGCGCTCAAGCAAATTTTGTGTTTAAGCAGCTCTATGAAATTGTGATACTTCCTTAATTCTACAGCTTTATAATGGACAGCCGTCTGCAGTAAGGTTGTTACTTACAGCCAACCAGCATCATGCATATGGCGAACAGCTTCTCCACGTCTGTGGTGGGTGCCACGTTGCCAAAGCCCACCGTGGTCAGGATCGTCAGCGTGAAATACAATGACGTCACGTATTTGGACTGTGCAGACGGACCTCCCGTGTCGTCTTCCTGTTTTTGTAAGAAATAAAAACAAATCCAACTTACCGACTGCAATTCCTCAGTTGGGCTGCTATGATGAAATGGCACATAGTGCAATGTCAATCAATCATTCTCTTCCAAAGGTTATGATAATATTGTTCAATCTTGCGAATAACCCTTTCAAGTCTCATTACACTTTTACTTTTATTTTATCATATATTTGTCAAAGACAGCCAAAAGGCTGAGATTGTACAATTACATGAAAAATGATCAATAAAAAGAAACCGTACTACGTACAGACACCAAAAATCCTTATTTTTGAAGAGTTTATTAGACACACGGAAATAAATAGATTAAAAAAAACCCATTTTATTAATCCAACCTTACAATCAGTCACAATCCGACAAAAAGAATATAAACTCAACAAATAACACAACGAATCTTAGAATAAAATCGAAGGACCATCTGCATATGTGACCCACTCTGTGAAAATGAGTCATAAGTCGCCAGAGCCACTTTTTTGAGTTTTCATTAAGGTTTTTGTTTTGACATATCACTCAGTTTGGCATCCTGATGAAAGTGGATATTCCATGGGGAATAATGCTGTGGGTTCCTATTGATTTACACTCTGCGAAATAATTCTAAAGGACGTTTTACTCAAAAGTGAGTTTGGCGACTTAAGACTCTTTTTCACAGAGTGGGTCACATGTGTTACAAAACAATTAGTAAACCCATTACATGTACCTTATCGATCCATTTTCAAAGGAAAATAATGGACAAGACCAAAGGATGTTGCAAGTTGCTCTCCTTATGAGAATTAAACCCAACCCAATGTTCAGTTTCAATACATTTCTTTGTGTTATTAGCCCGAAACGCTTCGGAAGGGGTGCCTTCTCTCCCAAATGTAACCATGATGGCGCCTTTCCCTAACGCGCGTCAACACTTGCGCCAAGCGTTGCATATCCGTCAGAATCGCTCCCGGGGCGAGTTTGACGGTCGAGCGCAACGTACGCGCGTGCTAGGTTAACGGACTCGATTTTTGTGTCCGAGAAAGCGAAAAGCATGAACGCACTGTGTACGCAACGCACCGCAAAAACCTACACATATAGGCGCCTTTAATGCTTTTCCCGCGCTGGCGTGTTCGTGAGCTTACACATTGCTGTCACGTTAAATACAATGGTTTTGCATTTCAGCGACCGACAAAGAGCTGAAAAAGCTTGTGATTAGTTTCATCAATGGCGCGACATGCTGCAAAAAAGGCGAGAGACACAATTACAAAGTGTCCCGTCCGATTAAGATGAAATTGTGCACATATCATAAAGCACCACCGTAGGGCAAAGAGATATGATGGAGGACGGACCTTTTCCTTGATAGAATCGGTAACGGAACTATGATGGAATTTCTGAAAGGCCAGCGACAGGGTCACCTTATTTCTCTCAAGGGGGCTCTGATAGCAATGATGAACTGTAGACACTTGTGTACATTTCAAATGGGGGTGAGGCATACGAGGAGGACACGGACTTTTGTCAGGGGCCAAGCCCCGCCCCCAGTTATTATGCCACTGGCTACCCAGCTGTGGGGGCAGCCTTTAAGGGTTTCCAATGCCACTTCTCAATCCTCCATTTGTTACTTATTAAAAAAAAAACACCAAATCTATGCCGATTGCTTTCCACAGCGTCATGTTAACTCGGTGACTTCTTCCTCTTCCACAGGAATCACTGAACTGCGAGAATCGCTCTTTCCAGTTTTCAATTTGGATTCCGGCTGCTCTGTCGACATGCCACTAATTAAATCTAATCCACTTTGCGACACGCAAGCACTCTGCCGGGTCCAGAAATTAAAAAGCCCGTAAGAATATTTTGGAAGAGGGAAATCATTCATGTTTTATAATCCGATATTAAATTTGACGGCGAGTCAGGCAAGCGAAAGTAGTGGGAGTGGGTTGGTGATGAGTGTTATCGCTGGAATTATCAATTGCTACCCTGTTTTGATTTCCCCGCTGAATGAACTTCTGAGACCGTTTGGTGCGCTTTGACGCTGCAGTGTCTGCAGCAGTGATGTAGTCGAGTACTTTTTGAGAACCAAGTTCTCTACCAAATATTTGACTAGTTAGAAGGGAACAAAGCTGAAGTACATCGGCATTTGATGGTACATGCATAAAGGTATGATTACAAAGCAACATAATGACTTCAGACCATCACTGTTTGATTAAAATTAACTTTTTAGGACAAAAGTACTCGGAAAGTACTCGGCCAAGTACTTTCCGAGTATTTTTCTCCACAAAACTTAAATTTTACACAACTGGGAGTGTCTGAAGTCTAACATTTATTTTGTCTTACCTCTTACTCTGCACATTTACCATCAAATGCCTGTGCACTCTGGCTTTATTCCCTCTTACCCAGTTCAGTATTTTGCAGAGAACATTGGTACACGGAAAGTACTCGACTACAACACAGGTCTGCAGTGGGCAACACGAGATCAAGAGTCCAGTTCCCGCCATTGGGAGACGGGAGCTAAGCGTTTAGTCTCCGTTTGGTTGGTTGGTAGCCGAAGGGCGTGTCCTTAATTGAAAAAAAGAATTGAATATCCACTTGGATATTGCAACTTTGCAAGCGGCCCCTGCATTGATTGGCCATGGTCTTTGTTTTCATGTTGTCAATTTATACGAATTCTGGCACATTCGTAGACTACTGGACACCAATTTAGGAGGTGCAATCCACCAAACCAATGAGTATCTAGACGCGTTAATGAGGGCCAAGGTTCAAAAGAGAGACTTTCCTCTCACGGGAGACAATAGAAGAGGTTGAGAGTAACAATACTGTCTTACCAGTATATGGTTTATCGTCAATCCACTGGGACGTGTCGGGCGCCCTCAAGTTTCGACCACGCTGCATGCACCTTTGCGGGGTTATTATAAGAATGTGCCACCAAAAGTACAACGGCGGAGACTGTATGTAATCATTTTGCCCTCCTGCTCGCTACGCGGGGCAGCGATAGCATCGTGGGTATAGGCGAGATCGCTGAAGCATGAATGTTAAATTTTGTCTCTCAATACTGGAGGGGCCATGTCATTTAGCGGAAGGAACGAAATGTCCAAAGGAATAGCTGATAAAAAAACGAAAAATCAGCCGCAAGTCTTGACCCTCTTGGAAAATGGTTCGTCATATTCAAATCATCTCCTCTCCTCCTAGTTATGGAGTTTGCTCGGCTGAGGACTTGAACTTTCAGGACTGGCCCGTTCTGTAGAAATGTAATTATACGTTAATCATGCTAGAGTTGCGCGTGCTTCATTATTACAAAATTTGATGCTGAAACTCGCCATTCAATGTTCAAGGTATTTTAGGAACTCTGGCACTGAGTGGACCTGATCCGAACACGTCGATCTGCCAATCCGTGTACTGAGCAAGGGTCTATTAAATAAACGACCAAAGCAAGGCGCCGTCTCTTGACAACAAGAAAGTTCACGTGACCATCGGCGAACCCTGAGGCGTCTCAATGGACATTCCTGATGGTCTCCTTCAATGGTCGAAAGCACTGTGTTAACATAAGGAGCAAATGTCTCGTAACACAGACTCCTTAAGTTGATGGATTTGTTACAATTTACAATTGCCTCTTTTCCGTGAAAGCCTACCAGAAACTAAGTCTAGTAACATGTAGTTCACGCGATTCTACCGGGCTTTGTCATTATCAATACGTCTAATTTAACTAACCAATTAAGCGTTTCACTTTCTTCACTCCGATGATGCCGTTAACCTTGAAAGAGCATGGTTTCATTGGACCATCTCGATCTGACAACCGGCTGTGGATTCCCTCAAGAACTTAGGCTATCCAAGCTAGATTTCTTCAAAACATGGCTTGCATATAAAAACATACCTTGTCAGGTTAAATGAATATGGAGTTTCAACTCAATTTTATCTATGGTGTTGTTGTTACCGTCATTTGAATTTCAAGCCCACCTGCGTGGCAACCCGCCTCCGTTGAGTGCTGTAGTGGGAAAGAATACATTATTGGGTGACCTATTTTGGACAAAAGGACACTCCTCTGAGAACTTTATATTTAATTTTCACAAAATTGGTATCAGAATGACGGCAACGAGTTGTTAAAAACTCCTAAAGGTTCGGCTCAGGAAAAAAAGTTGTGGCAATGTTGGACAAAAAATGTCGAGGGAGCCATCACGAAATACGTCAGAGAAAAACGTATATATTCAACAATATTTGGGAAAACTGAGAGGCTTGGGTCACGCCCATAGCGGAGTACGCGAGTCCCATCGTTTGGTTTCTTCTTCACTAGTCTTTGAGTACTTTGGTTGACAAAAGCGTCCTAGTGCGGTCTCCGACCAAAAAAAAAACAACAAAAAAACAAAACAAAAAAACGCTAAAGCTGCGGACAGCAAACGTACACCTGATGATGCCATGCGAGGTAGCCGTCAACACAATCCCTTGACAATTATAAATAAATTAACTGTATATCCATTTCTATTTTGGCCTTGGGATTGATAGGATAAAATAAGGTTGATGTGAACTTGGGAATTAAACAAATCTTCAGCAAGACAAAACTTCAGGTGAGGCGAGTTCGAAACAGATCGGTGCGAAGCGAAGGTTTTAACCGTGGACAATCTGAAACGCAACACTACATGGGTTTCAATATTTCATTAGTATCGAAGACAGGCGCCTTTGACATAGAGACTAAATGCCTGTGTCGTGCGTCGCTGTGACACCGATGTTTCAAGCGAATTTTACCAGGAGCGGCGAAGCGTTTGCTTTAGGTACCACAATCGAGATTAAATATTCATGGCATGTTGCCAAACGGTGAGGAGGAATGACGGAAAACACTGGCAGCCTGCAGTACACGGCGGACAAATCTTGCCAACGCCTTTATTTATTCAGAGCTTTAAGATACAAAGAACCACGACGGAGACCATCAATTGTGTCCCCTCGGCACCTTGACCACACAGTAGAAATGCAAAGTTCACGCATGAATGAATGTCTTAGCACCGCCACCAGACTTTGACGAAATGGTCTGAGGAAAAA